GGGCTAAAAACTTTCGCCACGGGCCTTTGGCTCCTCCGTGAACGATAGCGGGTCTCAAGACCTCTGATAATCAATTCTAGAACACGGCTAAGGCCCCTCAATAAACTATATGTACACGGTCCAAGACCCCTCAGTGTAGTATAGAACACGGCTAAGGTCCTTCAATGAACTAGAAGAAATATATAATCACGGGTACTTTTCTGATCGATCTCAAAAACACATCTCATATTCCAATTCAGAAATATTTTCATATCTAATCTTTGAATTCCACAAATATCAGAATGAATGAATATTTTCAAAATAATCATGTAATCGAACATATAAATGCACATAATATATTGGTATAATTAATTTATCAATACTTGAAAATATTTAAGATTTTTCCACTCACGGAACAATGTACACAAAATAATCGGATTGGTAAGCTGTTCCGATATCTGTATCGCCGTCTAAATTATGATATAATTTTTAAATCAATAAGTAATTAGTTTAAGTAATTTTAATAATTAAATAGGCGATACCCAAATTTTATCATTTCAAGTTTAAGTGATTTCTAAAGTTTCTTTAATCACTAAAATTAATTTTTCTTTTACTTTATTTTATTTCATAGTTTATTATACTTAATCCCTTCAATAAAATTTATTTAATCTAACAATCTAACAACTATAAAATCAAACATAACATTTTTATAAGTAACTTTTTACTTACATTTCAAAATTGAGGAATTCAAGCTTAATAGTAGAAATCACTTATTTTTAAACCACCTTGTCGAAATTTCATATTTTTTTTCTTCTTCTTCTTCCTTTTTTTTCCCCCTCTTTTCTCTTTCTTTTCGTTCTCCTTTTTCTTCCTCTCTCTCTCTTTTTTTCCTTGCTTCTACCCTCTCTCTCTCTCTCTCTCTCTCTCTTATATCACATGAGAAATGGATATCAATTCACATGCGACCCGTCCAGCTCTCCCTCACTTGTGTGTATGTGTCAAAAGTAAAAAAATGGGATATTAGTTTATAACTTGCCACTTGTACTTCTCAAACCCATTTTTACGATGGAAGTCACTCTTCTTCAATTAAATATAATATTTAGTCAGTCAACTTCCATTAATAGAAAAGTAAATCCTTACAATTAAATTTCATCTATCTTAAACCTTTAAATATTGTCAATTTGTAAAATAAACTCCCAAAAATAATTTGAACAATTCAAGTCCCACTAAAATTATTTACTAAAATGATTTACTTCATTTAAGTCCTTATTTGACTTTGATTTTGACTAGTCAAACATTTGACTTTGAATAAATAGTATTGACCTTTGACTAATACGAAATGGGTATATCCACGACAACTAAAACTCTAAAAGGAGGTGTTTACTTCTAATTATGACCCGACTATTATAGGAAAATTTTCTTGATTTTTTGTTTTTAAATTATGGATATATCTCATATTCCCCCTTTCACGGCCTTCAATTTTATTTTATTGTTGAGAGTGTCGCTAATTTATTATTTTTTAATATGCCCCGATTTAATGCTATGAAATACTTTTATTTAAATAGTTATTTGATGTAAGGATGTATTAGAAAAAATGTAAGTAAAATTTATATTTCTAACTTTATTAATTATATTTTTTAATTTGTATAGAAATGAAAGCAAGCGCATTTTTATGAAATGACTTTATAAAAAATAAAAATAGAAAGAAATTAAAGCCCCCAAACAAACTCTTCAAGCGAGTTGCACTGAAATTATAATTTCCGTATAATGTAAAATCTCAATCAAACATTAATTTTAATCATACATTCACACTTACTATCCACACACTTGTAGAATTTATTACTGTTCTTCATTATAAATAATTCGTTATAATTTATCCTGGACAAGCTTATTTAGAATGAGTCCCTGATTGACACGATAATTGAGGTCAACTTGGAAGTCATATGTGGTCGTATCACGTTCATGTTTGAACGAATAGCTTAATTTATTAGTACATTCAGCCCTTGTTTGATCCTCATTAAATTAAATTACATTATATTTCATTTCTCTCTATCCTATTTTCAACCACACAATTTTTCATAAAATAATATTACACGTAAATCGAAAATTTTTCCTTCTTTTTCAACCATTCATTTTTCTAAAAAATACTATTCCCCCATTTTCATTTTCAGGTAATGGGGATCAAACAGGGGCTCAGTAAATATCGCGATAAAGCTAAATTCCCAGCATATATATTCTGAAAGTTTTAGTATTTTTCCTATTTTGAAAAGAGAAGTTTTATTAATTTCTATAACTTTATATAGATATAAAAGGGCCAATTTATCGAGAAAACATTTGTAACAATGTCTATAGTTTTCGAATATAGAATAAATGTGTCTATAATATTGAGTCATTTTAAGTTTGGTCTCTCAAAATATTTTAAGTGACACCTATTCCATTACACTTCGTATATATTTATTGATTAGTTAAACATTTCAATTTAAATCTAAAGTAAATGCATATCTGCCATAGAGTTTGTTTTAATAAAATGTTATTTCACTTTTTTCAGCAAAATATAATACAAATGAACTCTCTTAGGATTGTGTATCCAAATATGTTTTAAGCTTATATATAGAAGATCTCATATAAAGTAGGTCTAAAGTCTAAATTTTTCAAGGTTGATCATTATCGACCCTACTTTCACATGAATTATACTAGCCACATACGTTAGAACGTTGAGATAATTTTACACCAAAGAAAAAGAAAGAAAAGTTGAGATACAAACTCCAATGAAAAGCACGAGAAATTAAGGTAAAAATTTAGGGCTGTGTCTTGTGTACAGAAAGAGTGACAGTCCCCTCACATGAGGGGGCCCCACGATCAGCATGAGGTCCCCTCATAAGCTTATATAGCCCTGTATGAGCATAATAACCCAAGAATTTAATGTAATAGGTAAGGAGAGCATAGTTGGTTGGATGTTAGCAAAAAGGTTTGCAAACATTTGCTAATTCCTCGACACTTCGACATTGCATCATGTTTTTGTCCCTTTACGGTGCTCCTATTTAATGTGGTACTGTTAATAAAAGGGGAAATAATTTAAAAGGCTATAGAATTTTCCATATTTTTCTTTTATTTATTTTATTATCTACACAGGTTTCGACGACAGCAATGCATTTAAGTTTGGACCAACTGCGTTGAAGATTGAAGTGAACGGTTAGGAACTGTGCCCCGAAGAAAAAATTCAATTGAATTAATTCCGAACTATAATTTTACGATTTTATATAAATTAAATTGCAGTTTATAGTTGTTGAATATAGTTTACAAAAAAGTTTGTAATATTAATAAAGTGGATATTATTTAACGGCTACAGAATTTTTAGAGTTTTTTCTTTTCGGTTTTATTTATATTTATAAATAACATTGCAACCCTTATTCTAATATGTAAGCTTAGGCTCATATGGACCGCATAGCGCAGTGGATTAGCGCGTTTGACTTCGGATCAAAAGGTCGTGGGTTCGACTCCCACTGTGGTCGTTTCCTTTTTTCCTTCCGATTAATAACAAATTTCATTCCGCTGCCATTAGGACTAACGTTCAACATGCCTCAACTACCAACCACAAATTGTGTTTTTAGTCATAGTAAAATAGAAGAGGTTCTCATACAGATATATTTTTCCCTTTCTTATAGTTATGTAAAAGTTAGTTTAATTTACTGTTTTCACATTTTATGAAAATGACATTTCTTGAGGACAAAAATAGAGAGAAAAAAGCATATTTAATCACAAAGTCCTTGTTTGAGCCTCATTATGGAAGAAAAATGTATTTTGAAATATTGATTTTTTTGTAAAATGTATGGTTAAAGAATTAGAAAAAAAAATTCGATTTACACGTTTATTAGAGAATGTGGTTGAAAAATGAACTTTTGAAAAGATGGAGCTCAAACACGGCTAATTTTCACTAAAATTATCATTTTAATTGACATGAGGAAAGAAAGTTCATCTTTCTAACAAGGGTGACATCTTTATATTGTTGTTTCCTATTTCCATTCAAGTTGCATACTTTTTTATCCATGTTATTTTCATGAGTAATGTTTTTTTAGCCCCAATAGGTTTGTAACCCCAATTTAGGCAACGTTGGATGATATGTTAAATAAAAGATAAAATAACTACATAGCATTACTCTATTTCTACCATTTCTTTTCTCTATTCACTACATTCTTTTTCCCTAAGATGTTACACCTATACTCGTTCTTTCTCATTGCATTCCTGCTATACTTGCCTTAGAAAGAGGGGACTCGCTCCAAAACAAGACCAATGAGGAACCTCAAAGGCATAACCTCGAATTAACCAAACCTTTCTGCACAGCTTTAATCACATAGCAAAGCAAGAAGTAATGCTTATCACATGTCATTCCAAACATGAGGAAGAGGCTAAAGGTGCCCCCACTTTAAGTTAGGACATAATTAACTTCAAGTGAAAAACTCAATTGAAAGAGATACTGAAACTCAATTCATTAAATCGTATACAAATAACTCAAGAATTCAATAGTATATTGAACAATTAGTTGAGAGACTCATAAAGTGTTCTCAACAGCTGGAAAGATAAAATATTCAAATACTTCTTAAAAAACATGAAATGAGTGGGGAAAATAGATTTTGGAATGTGAAAACCTTTCTAGAAGGGATAAAAATTTGTTTGAACATTTTTTGTTAAGAATGTATTTTGGAATAGTAGATTAATGAAGAATGTGTGGCTAAAAAAGAGGGATCGGGTGAAATATTATTTTATTTGAAGAATATGTGGTTAAAAAAAAGAGAGAAAAAGATATATTTTGAAAATAATAGAGATTAAACAAGGGCTAAACGTAGACATTATTTTACTTTGACATAGCAACAATTTTTTCTTCTTCAAATTTGCCATTTATTAATAGACTAGAAATAAAACAAGGAAGAAAACTCGTTGGTGACGAAACATAGCACCATATGCAAGATTTGTTGTACCTTCGCCAATAAAAAATAAAAGAAAAAGGAAAGAAAAAGAGGGAAAGCTACTATAGTTTCTCATTTTCCCCAATTCGACTGTTTAAATCAGAAGCAATTTGAAATCAATGTTAGGGTTCATAGCCCTCTCCTCCCCATCCCAACCCATACGAAATCCATTAATATCAAGACTTCCCTCCTACGTTCTTCCCATCCGCAACCTCAAATTCCATCTCCGAAACCCAAATCCTAAAAAATTATTCTTTGCCTCGGCACAAAACGGCAATGAAAATGATAATGGACTAACATCAGAAAGTAACATCGAAACCGGCGGCCGAGTTAATGACGAAAAGGGGAAGGAGAATAATGGACGGCCGAGATTGAATCTAAAATGGGTGGATTTGTTGCTCGACCCTGATCCGGATAACCTTGTGGCTGTCGGATTGACTGGTCTGCTGACCTGGGCCAGTGTTCAGGTTCTGTGGCAGCTGTTCATCGTATCAATAGCCATATTGCTTGCTGCTCTCAAATATACACTTGTTGCTGCTCTTCTAATCTTTATTCTCATCACTCTCCTCTGATTAAATTTAGTATTCGTTTTGATTTTTGGTCGAACTGTATGCATATCCGAATTTTGCATAGTGTGTTTGAATCCTGTATACTAATTTTCGACGTGAAAAATGTATTTTTCATGAATCTCTGTAGAGCACTTGAATGTTCAGAAATTATGTTATAGTCCGGTGTCATAAAATTTGCAATTTAGTATTATAATGAATTATGAGGGAATTGGTGGTTCTAGTGGCCTTAAATATTGAGCATTTCTGTAACAATGTCTCGATCTTTATAGTTTTCAGCGACTATGGAGACATCCGAGTTGTAAAACTTCAATCTTGATAAGTTAGTTTGGAACTAAGGATCCGTTTGATTACAA